GGAGGAATAGTTAAGGTATCACCATTTAGTCTATTTGTCTGTTACTGAAGTATTTATTAGGTAAGAACATACTAATGTGTTAAAGAAAAATAAGTGTGGGCAAGGTATGAGTGGATAAGGAACTGTATAAATGAAGGTAGTTTAGAAGGAAGTATAGAATCATGTAATTATAAAATAAAGCGCTGAAAACAGTATTCCGATACAAATGACTATCTCTCTTTACTTTAGAAGCTGTTTGAACTCTCTTTTTTTGTTTTCAGATTTTATAGGGTATAGAGTGGGCTTCATTTTTAGCCAATTGTCTAGTTTGCTTGTAATAGGATTACTTGGTAGGAAGTGGAACCAATTCAGCTTTTTCAACATGATTCAAAGTGGTATTTTGCATGAATAATTTCGCATCAATACCGTTGGTTCGTGACATCCCACTAGACATAAGGAGCCGTAATTAATATGTTCTGCCCCACAGACACGGGTGGATTGAAGTTATCTCCCCACCATCATGTTTGCTGGTCAGTAACGCCACCCTTCCTCCTTTTATGATGTTAGGCTTTCTTACGTTTGTGGTCAGTATGAATATTGCTTTTATCAAGGACCATATTTGAAATACACTGTCTCTACAAGTTCCATGTTACAAGCAAATCAGATGGTAATAGCATTTGTATTATGGGTTAGATATCCATTTAATATATCGTACTACTATGAAGATAACTAATGGTAAAGGTTAGAAGAGACAAGTCAGATTATATGTGGTTAAGAGATGGTAAGGGCTAATAGAAAACCAGAGGATATGATAGTAAATATTGTAAAATTTTCAGGGTAAGAAAAAAAATAAAACATTGAACAACTCACAAGAATTTAGGACATTTGAGCTTCTTTTGATCGGCCTTAGTTGGTCAGCATCCATAAGATTAGTGAGTTATCTGTCTACTTGTAATAAGAAAAATAAAAGGACATGGCACTTAGGAAGAATAATTTGGATTTATCCGTTAGAGAGATTCGGAAACTGAAAATGATGGTTAGGAGCGGAAGGCCATGGTTAATAATCAATAAATAATGGGGAAGGATAAAGCATGTTTTCTTTTGTTTTGCTATATTCATACTAACGACAATGGAGTTCGTTATAATCTTGTTCCGTCTAGATATTGGGCGGTCCATAATAAAGTGCCTCATTGGTAGGCGGGAGTTCAAGGAATAGTTTAAGTTCTTTAGAGTTTAGCAACAGGGTTATTAGCCTTTTAAATTTGGTAAAGGTGTCACAGTTACGGATAGGTATTGGCAACCTGTTCCACAATAAACTATACAGAACTGCAAAAAACCTACAACGCATTTGTTTTTGGTGTTTTTTGGTAAATAGTGTATATGCATTGTTTCTTAGTCTATAGGCAGGGTCATTGATCATAGTTGGACAGGAGGTTAGGAATGACAGTCCATTTATTACTACTACGACAATAGACCTAATCCTGAAACTTTAGATTTGTCACCGTACAAAAGAATATTTTTGATTTGTAATTTATAATTTAGTCAGACAACTCCGGTTCGTTAGTGATATAAACTTCTGCTATTTCAGAAGCACCTGAAGCAGTAATGCCTATTTCTCACTGTCTAGTCTTCGATCAACACTATAACTAGTTGAACATAATGGTTTCGGGATATCGTCATAAAGCATTGTCATGACTTGACAACCACCTAATATGATTATTAAAATTGATGAAACTACCATCAAAATCGGTCAACAAATTATTATCGTTAAACAGTTTTGTTTTCCCGTCATCTTCATCCACTACAGATGACTACAGTATGTTCTCTATCGGTTGTTCATTCACTAAATACCTTAAAACCTTGTCGGTCTAATTGGAGATTTAGCGACACAATCATGAATGCAAATCATTAGTATAAGCAGTCGAGAAGATCTGCAAACCGAAAACACTGTCGAACGTATCCCAAAACTGACTAAGGCTCAAGCCATTATCATAGGTACGAGTTAGGAGTGTACTCCTCTTCCATACTACTTACGTTCTCCCTGATAATGACATTAGAATCATTCACTGTCTATCATCCTGTCAAGAATTATTAAGCTGGAAGCATTTGGAAACACCACAGCACCTTTGTTTATAGCGCATAGGCTTGGTCGGTTACAACAATTCTTAGTCACTATATTTTTAATCAGCGTATGAGAAACTCGATACTTGCAACTAACCTGTATGCATCATCAGTCGGTGAATGTGAACACGAATAACATTGAGTCCAGAGCATATCTCTTGCGAATACACTCATGTCTAACTAATTCCTCTTGGCTATCTGTCCAAAATTAACATAGTTGTCACTTTCCACGGATAAAAATTTTTTGTGATCGCCACTCAAATGCATTAGTAGTACTACTAAACTCTATCACGGTTAAGCGATAATGGGGTAGAGAAAATCTTGTAACTAAATTAACCGTATCAAACTTAACAAACTAACTGGAGCACTGGTCGAAGTTCTTCTTTTCCGTGGTTATATTTTTGTTCTTTCCGTCAGCCTACCAATGAAGAGGCAAATGGAAATCAACTCAGACGGACAACTTAAAAGCATAAATATTATTTGACTTTATAACTTAAACTGAAAATAATACCAATATCAAAATTTTCACAATATTGATTGTCTTTCTATTCCTAAACACAAAATACTTGTACTACCTGTAGGTTAAGCTGTTAACCAACCGTTATTACTGCGCATCTTACTGAGGCTGAATAAATTATCAATGCACAGAATCATTATTAATTATTACAATCACACTCAATTTGGTATCAAACCAACTTCAAGTTGATGCTGATGTGAGAGTAGTGTAGTGGCATTTGGCCCTAACCATACATTCCTGAAAGCTGAACACGAGATAACTAGAAAAATAAATGTTCAACATTTAACGGGAAGAAAAACGTAACGATGTAGGAGGCGGGACGAAGTAATTGAATGAATTCAACCTATCGGGTGGCATGGCTATGCCTCGCATTCGTGATCATTCTTGTGCACGGCCTGAGCCTTTTATTCATAATAAAGATACCGTTCTATCTCCATTCCAAATGTGTTCTCCATCATATATTTGTGATAATTACGATTCGGTGAGTCGGTTTAGACAACGATGTAAGATGCATGTGAGATCTTATAGACTAGATAGTTACATAATGACAAATCCTTAACTTTAGGATGAGATCTATTATAAGAGCAGTCCTAGTAACGATATTGGGCGAGATCCCATATAACTACCTAACATCTGAGATCTTACATGGAAGTCACATAATTGTCCAATCTGGCACATCGCTTCATGATGATCAGCAATATGATGTTTAATACTTCCAAAGAACGCATTTTGGCTGGAGATAGAATAGCATATTTAATGTGGGGTGTGTGATTTACACAAAAATGACCACGCATTCAAAGCTGAGCCATGCCAGCCGACTGGATGAATGAATGTTCTCGCGTTCACTATTACTGACCTCCTCCAGATGTTACATGTTGAAAATAAATCTTTTCAGTAGTTATATGCACGGCTCCGAAGATTGTATGGTTAGGGACCAATGTAACCAGAACTTTACCTAAAGATTTGATACCAGACACGGAAGCCCGTTAGGCGAAAGCTTCTTCTATTCCGTCCTCAACCATTTGAACCATTTGAGCTGTGTATGCCAAGTGCAGAGAAATGGTGAGAATTCAACATTTCAACATCTTCAAGCTCAAGGTGATTCAAACTTTTCTAAAAAACGAATAATTCCTTATGGTCTTTGAGGGGCGATACATATAATATTGTCCATTAGCAAATAACATAGCAAATTTTGTTTTACTGCTTAAATAACGTGTTATTCTGAACCTACAAAGGCCAGCAGTTCAAAACTAGACGTTTAGTCATCTGATCGTGCATTTAGACCCTGGTAAAATTTTTAATCCCTAAAACAAAGTAAACAAATATCCTTATGGCGAAATAGTAGTACCAAGCAGAGTTACAAAAATCTTTTCGAAAAAGAAAATTATGGAGTTTATCATATAATGTGTAGCATGATCAGCTGGGCTACTTGTTGTCCTATTCTGTTATGTTTATGAATACCTACTCTTCCTGTTATTTCTGAGAGTAGCTTGCTTATTATTACTTATTATGGCTTGGGTAGTGTTCAAACCTAGGCTTTGGTTCCTTTACAGAAAACTCTTAACTTATACAAAATGACTGACTTCTCTGAGAAATTTGTTTTGACAAGCCTTGAGGTTTTGTTTCCTAAGCTTCTCTCATCCCCGCAGTCCGATTTAGTAAAGTACATGCAGGTCTCATTATTTTTCTTAATTTTCCAGGCGATGCTCTAAGCACACAATTGACTTTATTTTGTTTCTTAATCAAATCTACAACGTCCAGGCCATTAAGAGTAGAAGATACTCGTAAGTTACTAGTATTTGACCACAGATGCCTTAGAAATATTGCTCGCATCTGCTGGGATAACCGGGTAAGTAATAGTGCGGTTAGACTCAGGGTATTAGGGAATGATGGTAAATCAGTTGATGAGGTGATGAATCTTCATCGACTGAGATGGTTGGGCCACGTGTTACGTATGCTTGAACATCGATTACCACGACGCGCAATGTTGACTAGTGTAGGGGATGGTTGTAAGAGAGTTAGGGGCGGCCAAACCAAAACATGGCATCAGTGTTTGAAGTCACTAACTTCTAGCCTGAGCCATGTTGGCAGATGCAGACTACCTGGTTGGGGTCCGCGTGACTATCGTAACCAATGGTTGGAGACTCTAGGTGACATGGCTCAGAATCGGTCACAATGGTGTAGGTGTATACACTCTTTATCTTCCCTTAAACCTTGAGACTAAAATTGCTTCATATCTCTCTTCCTTCCTGTACTATATCCTTATATACAACCTATAATTTATATACTACTACCACCACTAGATTAACTACTATGAATCCGGTGTTCCTCTTGTTGTGCTAACGAGGTATGGCAACTTGGACCGATGCATATATGTGCCTGGTCCTACGTTGTCGCTGACTGACTGACAACGTCCAGGCTTTGCTACTCTATGGTCTGTTTTGCTTTGATGTAGGGATCTGTTTGGGGTCTTGTAGCTGAAACTGTCAACCCGCATATTCCAGAGCTCTCTGTAATTAGCCTCTCTGTGCTCTTTCCTTGTAACCATGCATAAAGTTTTGTATATGTCACATACTACGTTATGGGGTCCAACTTGGTGGCCTCATTCTAGTCTGTAGATGGATGTATGATGATGCTCGTATCTTCCTCGAGCTCGACAGCTGGTCATCTGCTACAGGCTGTTTAGCTGAGAGTGTTTTTCTATCTGTGTTTAGCAGCCTCAAGAATCAATAGAGATTTTGTACAACAACAACTATCAACACGATAGTGGCTTGCAATACCTCATATATGTAGCTAATGTACTTCCAGTGAGGACGTCGTGATACTGCTTGTTGAAGTTGTCACATTACATTTCATCTCCAACCGGAAAGAAGCGTAACTGTTTACCACAAAGGAATTATTCATGCGTCCTTTAGTTTGATATATGGACATAGGATGTTGTAAACATCGTAAAAAATTACGGAAGCAGTTGACATTAAAATAGCTTTTCGACGACCATTTAGAATAAAAACACTACAACACTAAAAGACTTTTATTACACTTGTAAAAAGAGTACGACAAAACTGTTCCATAAGTGAACTATCTTATCCAATAAGCACAAACCATTGGACAATTTTTTTGCACTCGCAATCTGAGTACAGACCAAAACACTGACACTTTATATAGACTCATACTTTTACTATACTTTATTTGAAAATTTAATTCAATTAGTCATTAAAAGGAGGCTTTTGCGCGTTAGGTCACAATTTAAACTTTAAAATTTATCAAGCCAGAAGGAATACTGTTTTTTTCTGAATAACATCAATAGTGCAATCAAAATCCGAGTTTCTACCAGCTAAATATGTGAACGAGTCTTTTGCTGGAATAATAACAATATTTGGATCTTTAAAATACCTAGCTATTCCAAAAAGAGGACTTCATTAGCTAAACAAACCGTAAACTAAGATTCTTCGGCATTCGTCTCGGGCCATCAAGAATTGTAAGAGGCAAACTTCCCTTATTATTCTCAAACGGGGCTTTAAAAGGTTGTGTTAGATCGTTTTATCTATAGTAGAAAAGAAACTTGTCTTCACTCCTAGGTGTTATGATTATTGATTGTATTTGATATAAAAGTTTAAGGAGGAGATAGCATTTTGTTTTGGTAACGGTATGCTAAAAACAACTATATATTTGAAAATTGTTGATTAGTGAGATCATTACATATGGCTGGGTGGTTACTGCTGCTTGATCCTTCACAGAGCTGAAAAGTCGTCGGCACGTCACTGGACATTTTTCTAATAATGATTCCAGCTATCTGGTCGATCTGTACATTATAATTATGCAGCAACTACAGCTCTCTAAGATTCTAGTTCTGATTATTATTTCGTTTGTTTTTGAGCTTTTGCCATTGCTGGTTTCGGTTGACTGCTTTCACTATTAGACGGAACTTCGTATTATTTTATTGTCGAACTTTGCGGTCAATTTTCGCTTTGTTTTTGTCTCTTTCAGATTGGTACTACATTGAACACCTCAGCATAGAAATTATCTCTAGTCTAGACGCAAACCTATCAAATCAAGCACATTACAGTTGTCCAGATAATTTCCTGATATATGTTATAATTCATGAATTCTTCAAATGTTGATGTTCTGTGCACCGGGAACGAAGGGACATCTTCATATCTGTTACATGGTAATGACTGTCTCAATAGTGACGGGGAAGTACTGGAATCCCTGCTGCAGAAAATCCATGTAAGTGATTCGCAATATAAAAAGACATTGTAAGAGCCTTGAAAAAGAACGTCGGATTCTTAAGCTTCGTCTGGAGGCTGTTGAGAGTGATTACGATGCTCAAGTAAAAGAACTACAGACGGATATAATCGCCATGCGTATAGACCTGAAAAAGGAAAAAGAAATGTGTAGACAGATGGAACGAGAGAAAAATACTACTATATCTGAGTTAATCCAACAGAATCAATCTTTAACATGTCGGCTTAATTCTTCCAGTGAGAATGAAGCTCTTTTAAGAGAAGAAATGTCTAACTTGAGGTTGGAATTTTTGAAGCACAAATCTTCTATGCAAGAACATGTTCAGTCAATCGAGTCTTTGAGACAAGAAGTTAGTTCCGCAATACTGTTATAGTAGCTTTAGATCACTAAGTTACGTGAGGAGAAAAATCACTTGGAAAACCAGTTAAACACTGTTATGGAGGAAAGAAATAGCCTTCTAGAGTCACTTAATGATTCTTATCAAGAAATAAGAATGATGAGACATGTGACTGACGAACACGTCGCTACCGTATGTTTTCAATTTTGTTAGTATAGTTTTTAGATAAATATTCAAGACGCAGAAATTACAAGACTTCAAGAGACAGCTAGTATACTTCACAACCGGCTTCATAAATTGTCAATCCAATCAGGTGAACAGAAATCTAGTAGCAATGAGGATGATCGTGTTAAACCAGTAGACTCTCACCCGCATCGTTCTTTAATGGCTGAACTGGCTGAGCAAAAATTGATTCAAGCAGAGGTAAGCATTTGTGATCACATTGAACAGTTTTGTGATACATAATTGTTGATTAACTCGCAAATTACTTCTGGTTTTTTGTTATTACTGTGTTATATCCCCCGGTGAATTACGAATGTTAACTTTTAGGTCTATTTATCGACTAATGTATTACGCCTATTTCCTATTGTACAATTGTTACGTAACTAAACTATTCATATTCGTGTTTCTCTTATCATGAGCTTTATTTTGATCTTTGATTTATTATCATACGATTCTTGAGTTATACTCAGTTATTGATTACTTTGGGTTGTATAAAAACCCAGTATGTTTGTAAATAATGATTCATACCACTGAGGCTGTTATTGGGGTTTTGGACTTAACTGGCTGGGCTAGGCAGATCGCAGGACCGGTTAGCAATCTAGTCTGCTCGTACGAGTTTCGTGTCACTGTTCTAGTCGATAATTCGCTGCTCTCTAATTGGCGGTCTTATCGCGTCACACATTAGCAAGTCATCCACTCGGCCACAAGCATAACATACTGTGCACACAATACTAGATTTTACTATTAGTTATACATATTTAGACAATCTAAGTAGAAAAGTTTTATTCGATATAGTTTCCAAAAAAGTACACACTCGAAATGCTAAGGATTAATGAAAAAAACTAAGGACTAAATTGAATGTTGTCAGTCATAAGTAACGTAGAACAAAATGAATATAGCTAAAGTAGATAAAGGTTTGAGTCTTATTTCCAACGTGAAGTTAAACGACTTAGTCCTCTTACATCTGTTATTTAACTCATTCTACTAGTGCTTACATTATGCATGATCTTGGTAATCTTCAGGGACTATCAAATTATTATTTAGTTAAATAACTGGTAACACAGCTATCACAGGTCAGGTCAGCTACAACGTAGGACCAGGCACATATATGCATCGGTCCAAGTTGCCATACCTCGTTAGCACAACAAGAGGAACACCGGATTCATAGTAGTTAATCTAGTGTTGGTAGTAGTATATAAATTATAGGTTGTATATAAGGATATAGTACAGGAAGGAAGAGAGATATGAAGCAATTTTAGTCTCAAGGTTTAAGGGAAGATAAAGAGTGTATACACCTACACCATTGTGACCGATTCTGAGCCATGTCACCTAGAGTCTCCAACCATTGGTTACGATAGTCACGCGGACCCCAACCAGGTAGTCTGCATCTGCCAACATGGCTCAGGCTAGAAGTTAGTGACTTCAAACACTGATGCCATGTTTTGGTTTGGCCGCCCCTAACTCTCTTCCAACCGTCCCCAATACTAGTCATCATAGCGCGTCGTGGTAATCGGTGTTCAGGCATACGTAACACATGGCCCAACCATCTCAGTCGATGAAGATTCATCACCTCATCAACTGATTTACCATCGTTCCCCAATACCCTGAGTCTAACCTCACTATTACTTACCCGGTTATCCCAGCAGATGCGAGCAATATTTCTAAGGCATCTGTGGTCAAATACTAGTAACCTACGAGTATCTTCTTCCACAGCTATCACAATTGTGCTTTATTATGTGAGCAAACCTATCATGCGAAATAACTGATATGATTTATTAGGAGAAAGATAAGTCATTTAAGGCATATCAGAAAAGCTTCAGATGGGGATGTTATATGTTTCAACTTCTTCATAATAACGTTGTTGTTCTACAAATAATGTCTTAATGCATTTTCACAATATTTATTTTTTTAATGCATGGGATAGGGTTATTGATTTTGTTCGTTATGTTATACGTTTTATTCACTTTTGTTAGCGGATGACAGTGGTTAGCAGGTATGTGTTGATATTTTACTTTACAAATTGCTAATTGTAGTCAAAATTTCCTGTTTGTTATTCAGTGACCGAGCTAAATGATAAACGTTTACAATAACAGACTGCAGCATCGGCACGGTGCGCAATGCTGACTAGCATTCGGGATGGTTGGAAGAGAGTTAGGGGCGGCCAAAGCCAAACAAGACTTTCGAATCCGTGCAGATTTTGTCAGACACCAACCCATTAGGGCTGATCAGACTTCCAAGATAAGTGAAGCTGTCGACGCGTTCGATTGCTTCACTTCCTAGCCAATTCTGGAACAACGATTCCAGCAGTAAATCTATAATGAAATTAAACAAAGGTAGATAGTGGACAGCTTTTCCGGACACTATTTGAGGATGCAAAGTCAGTTCGTCATCAATTCTGACTTGACTGGTAGTGTTCGAGTAAAGAGCCTTCACAAAGTTTATGTTCTTCAGAGGTACACCTTTCAATAATGTCCGGCGCTTTAACCGGGTCGGTGGACATGGAGGGTCCACCTGGGGGAGTTGGAAAACCCTGATTCCGAACCAGTGGTGCACATGGGCTCCAGTATCCTGATGGAACGAATGGCGTATGAACCTATTGTTGGTCACCGGCTACCATGGGACTTCATCTCCTCACGATGCTCCACTGCCTTGTGGATCAGACCTTTAGGTCAAAGGCTCGGGTTGTGGCCCCCTAAGAAAACCACCTGCTTAAGTCTGGGCACATGGTCAGTATCACATCCTTCACACAAATCGAATGAGATTTGTGAGGCGCAAATTTATCTGGTGCTTTTTTGTACCAATATTTATGTGTTTGAATAAAATAAAATAAACACCTTTCAATGGTAGACACTGCCAAAGAACCTCTCGTCCTACAGTGTCAGATGCTGCTTTTAAGTCAAGAAAAACCATCATTGTAGGACATGGATAAGCATGTCTATGTTCTAAAAACTGACGAATGGTGGTCGATGCAGCCATGACTAGGTCTGAAGCCAGCCTGATTATGTCGTGTTTGCAGTTCACGAGTCTTAGCTAAGCGTCCGATAACTAATGAGGCTAGTATTTTAAATGCTATATTGATCAAATTAATACCGCTATGGTTATTGCGGGATGATTTTTACCCCTTCTTGTATATTGGAAAAATCAGTGATTGTGGTCAATCAGATGGTATAACGTCCAACTCCCAGCTTTTAGCCAAATTATTCGTCAAGCTAATCGCTAAAATCGGACCACTATATTTACAGACTTCTGGAGTCAATCCATCTGAACCAGCTGCTCTTCCTCGTTTCAGATTGTTGAACTTCAACTAGGGTCTACCACCACTCACGGTCGTTCCTTAAACTTTTGGTTAACTTAGATCTGATTTGTTTTCGCTCTTTATCGTGTTTATGAGAGTCTATCAGCATAAAAGTTGTCGCAGAAATCTATTGGTTTTTCGTGACCCTTTGGTTCAAATCACTAGCAAATGTCACTGCTGTTTCCACAGCTGTTTGTCTATCTTCCGAAGCAATATCTGGGTCGGTCTCGTTTACGAAACTGCCTAAATGTAACCTCAGTTGTTCCTGGAATTTACATTTGGCTTTCTCGTCCTCCAGTTCAATCCTAATGGGTCTTCTTATTGTAGTTTTTCTGCGTCCAGTGTGAAGCAAGAAAGTGCGTGCTCGTATTAGAGCATGATCAGAGTGTAAACATGTATTGCAGAACCGGTGATAGTCTTCTATCGAGCCTCTCTAACGATGATCGATGGGAATATGCTCTATTTGAGTCCATCGTTGGTTTGGTGCAGGGAGTCGCCGTGTTAGACGATGTCTCTCCTTATGCTTATAATTAGTGTTTGCTGAAAATAAACGATTGTTTGAGTAAAGTTGCAATAGACGGCCACCATTATCTGTTCTCTGAGCAGGGATACTAAGATACTCACTTAAATGTCTTTTTGTTTGGTTTAAGCTATCTACTTGGGTATTATCGTCACCTGCAACGAGTACTATGTCTGAGTGTTTAGCTTTTTGAAGAATTTCAGAAAGCTTTTTGTAAAAATCACCTTTCACTTTATCCAGACTGCAGTCAATGGGAGCGTAGGCAGAAACGACGAAAAGGCAAAAAGTTCTTACGGTGTGGTTTAGCCGAACATCACATAGGCGACTGTTCATATCCTTATCTGCAATCTTTTATATCTATATATACCATTGAAGTAACTGCTTCTGTGGATTCGATGTTCATCTTGTTGTACTAGTGAGGTGTGGCAACTTGGACCGATGCATATATGTGCCTGGTCCTACGTTGTGAATGACTGACTGACTTCAGCATCGCCTAATATCATCACTTTTGAACTGAAAGCTTTGTAATCAACAGTGAACTTTCACTCATTATAAAAGTGTAGTACCTGAAAAACATGTTTCATTAGCATAGAACTTATTTTATCTAGTGAATGTTTAAATGTACTCGGAAAGAGAAATATGAAGACCGTTGGTAGTTCCGTTAAATTTTAGTAAAAATAAATTTGCAAATGAGGTCATAACAAATTGTGATAAAACATTTTCTAGTTGCTTTTTTTGTACAAGAGCTGTAATTAGCTTAGAGCTCGGTATATTCTATTGTATTCTTTGATAATGAACAACAAATAGGTAGTTTTTGTTCTTCCTTAGGTAAACAAATGCTTCAGTGTTTTCATCAAAAGCACTAGTAAAGAAATTTAGGGGGTTTGACCAACCAAAAGTGATCAAAATATTCTGTTTCGGTGGACAGATAAGGCCAGCCAAAATGTGTATGAATAGTATTATCATGGCGACTTATGCACACGTGGCCCATCATTAGGCTGATCGAATAGGATTATTTTCTGATAATGTTGATAAGCAGTTAGTGTCTTCCGAAAATTTATTTGTTGTATCGCTTTGATCGAAGCAGGAGGGTGTGCTAGAATCTAAATCAAGTATAAATCTTTTTTTTTTTGAGCTGAAATTAAGCACGAGAGATAATAGTGATAGGATTAGAAATTACCACTGAAAGATTCTCCGATGTGCTTTTCTTCTGATCATGAATGAGCTTTTAGAATAATCAAGTTAAGTAAGCGCTATTTACCCGTCATGATCCGAGGCAGTTTTTAAGATAATGCAAGTGAAATCAAAATAATTTTCCAAATTTATAGCTTGGCTGGTTGCATTAAGTTTTGGGTCTGCTTACCATTCCACTTCCATACTGTTTAAAAATTATGAACTTCATTTATAAATAGAAAATATGTAGTACAATTGGCAATTTGTCAATCCGTTTTAACTAATCACATGCTCATGATCTTGAATCTGCGAAAACAAAGACTTTTAAAAACACTAGACTCTAATTTAAACAGTTGATGACTCTCCGTAATCAAGGTCCTAATCTAAAAATCCCTTTATCAGATTTCGACAAGTTTTGTTCTGAGGTTACTCACCAATAAAAGTCGACTCAAATTATTTATACCTTCATTTTTTTCATTTCTGCAGACCTATTTCTGTAAATATTTCTTTGTTAGCTGTCTTCACCAGGGGTATATTATGGAGATTGGGTTGCTATTCAGCATCTGTATGTTCAATTTCTTTTGATTTTGTATGATTGATAGTCTAACAGATTTTATAATGTATCTGACTATGATTTATCCACGAAACAAGTGAAATGTGGTTCAACTTTGAAAATGGTCTTTTGATATTCAAAACTATGTTTATTGACCTTTGGGTTTCAGTGAAAAACCATAACTTATTAAGGTGAAATTTCAACTGGGTAGAATAAATTATGTCTCTAATTGCTAACACTACAAATTATAAGCAAATAATATAAAAGCTACTTATGTACCTTGTTCTCTTTTTAATTCATATTTTCATCAATGTGATAATATTTGTTTCCAGCTCCTTCACTATACTAGTTCTTAATAAGTTCCTTAATATTAACTGTTATGATTTATAAAATCTTAAGTTATAATTTCGAATCATGAAATTCTCACGTCCAACTATTTGCAAACCATTATGAATTTTCATTAATGTAATAAAAATCAAACATATTTCCAACAATGCCTAATAGTTACTTGTTTCTTGGTTGACAACACTTATTTCAGCTTATTTATCCCGCTGTTTTTTTCAACAAAAAAATCCAACATTTGAAATATGAAATAAATATTATCGATTTCTATCAGAAGTGAAGAAATATCATATTGTCCGATCAATACTGTTATTCTCGTTCACTAAAGAATAAACAAAAACTACAAACTCTTAAATCCATTGTTTTTATGCTTAAATAATTTAGGATAGGATAGTCTGTACAATTAAATATAAAAATCTAAGAGTAAATAACTAGTTTCTTTCGATAGAGATTAATGCAAAATGTAATAAAAGGTAAAATCGAAAAAAGGCCATATGTTGGACAGTCTATTATCAATTGGGAGTTATCACTAAAATATGGAAGTATTATTTTCATTTTATAGGTCTACTTGATTGAAAGAGTTTTTGATCTAGTATGATTTACAATGTAAATAGATACTATTATTGTAGTGAACAAAACACTGGTTGGGGACAATCGAATGTATTTGAGCAAAACTTACAGACTATCTCAGTAAATTCTGAAAACCATACAATGGACAGTTAATTTGCAAATTAACAACCAATAGTCTCAGTCTTCACTGTTTCTTCTCTAATTCCATTTTTCGTGCATTTTCCTACCGATTGCGCTTCGTTTCAGTTCTTTCCTCATCGGTCCTTTGCCAAAATACATTCTATGTCTGACCATCACCATATACTACTTATATGGATATAAGTAGACCACACCACATTATTACCTTCCTCTAATAGGCAAATACTGACATTTAACTGGAATGGTGAAACTATGTTTGAACGATTATTAAGGCATTTTCTGTGTCTCATAGTTGTGATTTATACCATATAAAAAGTAAAATACCGAAAAATCTTTTTGTGATTCAATTACAGTGAAGCTCCAAGGCATAGAAACAATCTGAATGCAATCTGGTATATAAATGAAACTAAATAGTAAGTCAACATCTCCATTCAGCATCAGTCAGTATTTGGAGAAGGCGGATTTTTGGAGAACAACTTAGACTATTTCTTGCTTTAAAAAATGAGTTTGTTTTTATTAATGGTCGCGGTTTCGTTTTCTTAAACTGCTGATAAAACCTTTATTTTAAAATTATACACATGAATGGAATTTCTTACTTTTTCGGTTAGTAAGTTGATGGATCTATCAGTTTTCCTTAATTTTATGAACAATAGACGTTTTTTTGAAACAGTATTGATTGTACTTTTCAAGTTTCACAAGTGATTTATTAGGACAAATCTTATTTAGGTAGATGAGGAAAGTTTTTTCACTGTCAAAATGAGTTTTATGTAATAGCTTTGAAAAAAATATACATTATATTGCATTGATCTTTCAGAATCATAATTGTTTGCCATTTACTGTGGAGGATGATGATAATGTGGAGTTTGAAATGGATGACGATGCATACATGGCTTACTTATCATGTTTTGATCAGGATATTCTTCCAGTTAGTTCTTTACCGTCTGATTCACATAATATCTCATTGGAATCTTCTAATGTGAATACGAAGGAAACATTTATAAACGAACTGAGGTCGGAAGTAACGGAAGTAGGTTTCGTTTAAATGCATTTCGTTGTTTGCAGAAAAACTTTAGTGATGCTTTATTAAAATTTCCCATTTTTCATATGTCCTTAACACTAAAAACTGTTGATGTTACACTGTTTGAAGTATGTTGAACTATAGTCTCTTGCTCTAAAATTTGTAAATTTACCGAAATAAAAAAAATAATGAGACCAACTTTAGATAATCGGTTCTACATTTAAGATAGTCACTTTAATACAAAGTAGGTAACACATGAAAGTTGTTCGTAACATTTTGTTCCAACATTTTTCTTAAAAAGTGATTTCCTGTTTAAACTTAAATGCAAATAAACAAATAACGTAAAGTCTCATTTAAAAAGTATTGTCAGCTCTCATAGAATGTTGCAGTTATACCATAGTCTTCGTAGTCTAACTCATTAGTCAGTAAGTTTTGATAATCGGTTTCGGTTGGTTCTGCATTTTCTAAGCTCAGTCATTGTGAATCTTTTATTTTCATTCAGAACAATTTCTTCGTATGAAATTTCAGTTTGCGATAAGCTTTTATTTTTCCTTTCGAGTTATATGTTCCCAATGTTAGTAAACTTCATTTATACTGTTAGGGAACCATCAGTTGACTTTCCGGAAAAATACACTTTTTAGGGGTACGTCCGTGTTTAAGATTTTGCATTTTAAATTTACAGAACAGTCCATTTTGTTCGTATTGTGATAACTTCGTTCTAAGACATTTTGGCGCGTAGCCACCCATTTAAAAATCGGACTACAGTTTGTTATTCAACGATTTTTCCAAAAAAATAATTTCAGATTTATCAGCAGATTAACCAAATGTGTGTTGAATTATATGCTTTCACTGGAACGAAACAAGAATCTTGTAGTAAAGTTGGTACACATACTCCTGATGAATTGGCCATGGTTGAAATGGATTTTCGCTTGGGCTCATTACGTTCTGTTTTAACTGATTTACGTGGACTGTTGAAAGATTTGAGGATTGAGATTCCAGAACAGCCTACATCATCTAACCAATCTAAAGATACAGTAACATCAGATGGAAATAAAGCAAAAACAGTTGAAGTAAGTAATTCAAGTATGATTTCACAATATATTCCAATTTTCAATAATATTATATTTTTCCTTCTCTGTTAATTTTATAAGTTACGAAAATTAAGGCCACATCCATTCTATACTTTATAATAATAATAATAACACTTGGTTAAATGATTAAACATAGTGTCTAAGTAAATAATATTGTTGAAAATACTGTGATCGATCTTTGTTTCATGAGTTATTGTTACTTCTGTTTAGTAAAATGATGATTCTAACCAGATTTTGTAGGTGATGACATGTTACACAGTTTTTCTATGAATGCTTTATATCACAATGTCTGTCAGTCAGTCACATGTAGAAATTCGTAATACGTACATCAGTTCGAGTTGCCATACTATATTATCATAAGAGTTAACAGAATAAATAAAAATGATTGGCTAACTTATAGTTCAAATCACTGCTACTTTTTGCGTATTCTGTTTGATTAAGTTCAATACTTCTTCAATGTCTTTTTACCCAAATTTTTCTTTGTTTAGCCTCTTCGCATGTCCAGTCCAACTAATGTGCAGGATATTCCACTTGCTAATTATGAAATGGAATGTCAACTTGTTCGTTCAGAGTAAGTAATCCTGATAAGAGTTATGTTTGTTCACAATTAAACATGGTTATTACATTGAAGTGTTTACAAATATCGATGTTCTAGTAAATAACAATGAATACGAATCTGATTTGTTGTCACAGCTTTCCCAATAATTTATGTTAACTGTACTAGTATTTTAACCTGAACCAGTAATCAAACAACTTATATACGAAATAATGTTCTTTATTTGCAGATTTTTTTTCAGAAAAAGTAAATAAATTCAAATTCATTGATGGATAGGATCATTTAATTATACCTATTTTTTTAATGTTTATTCGAAGTCAAGGGAATAATTCCTTTTTTATTATCTAGTTATTTTCTGTATTTTACTTGTACATTTTTTGTTGATATTTGCCTAGACGTGATGCACTTGCAGCTGAACTATTGAATGCACAACAAGAACTTCTTGAACTAAAAAGTCAAATTGAAAATGGTTCAGGAAACTCTAGTGAAGTGCAAAATTTGCAAAACAACAAAGGAAATAATTTTGTCGCTAACTGGGAGGTAATTGAGTCTGTTTTTCTCATTTAAACCTTTAGATATGAAATTTATCTTAATTTTGAGCATTGAATCTTCGATTTGTGATGTAAAAAAATGCGGTTAATACATTATGTGGAAGAATTATCACAAAGATCGCATTTACTTTGTTCTCGAAACTGAAACTTTTGAAATAACACCTATCCATCACTTTTGCTTACTTACTCAGTAATACTATGAATAACAACACGGTTGACAAATTCTTGTTTTATGATGATTTATAACTACCATGAGGGTTTGGTATTACATTCGTTTAGGGATTAGATACATACTAAAACCGATGACAGATGAGACTATAATTTATGAACGAACTAAACAGGTTTAAGATGGCAAGTCTTGGATTTTGGCACAAAATTCATTCATCCATATGGCTAAATAACATTTTGGAATTATAACTAATGTCAGTTCGTGATGAAAATTCTATTTCCAATCCCTTATCATAACCTTTAATTCTAAATCCTTATTTCTCTCAGTAATTCATAATCCTCTATCGTCCGTAGTAAAGAGATAAATCCTTTCAAGGTCGCCTTAGCATTGCCTAAAGGTCATTCATAAATTATAGTCTAACCGTGATATGAGTCAATCAGCGTTATTTCAGTGAGTATAAGTTTGGGTTTATATATTTGGTAATTTATTTACACCAACAACCAAGTCTTATAACGGACTATCAACTGAAAAACACGAAAACAATCACTGACTGTATGATCACTTGACAAAGATGAAGGAATACATGTAATCGTTGTGATAAGATTTGAATCTCAATAGATCAGGTAATACAAGAAGAAGCCATTAGAGAATCAAGTATTTCTATTGAAATTATTCAAAACTACTTAAATTGGAGCTCTTTGTAAGCTAACAAATGTGTCTGTATTTATATTCTTGTTTGGAATAAATGCACTGAAGTATTTAGAATATGGTCTAGTATTTTTGCTTATTTGGATAGCTTTGAAATCATCAAGTCGACCAGTGGATTCTTGAAGTAGAATTCTAGAATCTAGATATTAGTTATTGCATTTCATTCAAATTTATTTACCATCTACTCTCTCCTATGAAATTAAGCTGTTACTGGTGCCTAATTTTTACATATTTATTGGATTAACTTACAAGTTCAAGATTACGTCGATGAAATTTCAACCAAGCATAATATCGTGGTTTATTTGTTAATTTATCTCAGTTGTTTGTTTTTTGATACCTGTAGCCTGGTAATTAATGAAAGCAATAAAATAGTAAACATGGTGGTGGAAAATAACTTTTTTGTAACATAATACTCCATACTGATACATAATTAGATTTATATCGAATACATTTCCTTGCTTCCAATCTAAGGAATAATAATTATAATGAAAAAGGTCTTCGTTGAATGAAATAGTGATATTTTTGTTTTTAAAATACACTACTATAATTTATGTAAGTAGTAAACATGTCCTGCAAGTATTTTGGTCGTTCAAATATTAAACAAAATTCACCGAGAAACTTCATCTATGATCGTTGGTCAAACTTTACAGAGAGTTCTTTCATATTACTGATTATACTTCAAAACTAAATACTTTTCTTGCAATAAAATGAGTGCCATTAATATTTACAACAGAAATTAACTTATAATCACCCAAAAGTGATTATTATATTAAGACTGGATTTCAATTTACTAGTGTTTTAATATTGAGTCCTTTTTTCATAGTTGTACTTCATTGAATTCATAATGAACGGTTCATCATATGTGACGTTAAAAAATTCACTGAAACGACAATAACTAAGTCTAGAAGTTCGATTTGTGTTCTGGGAAATAATATACAAGGCCAAAAAAATAATTTTTTTAATATTATAATCCAAAGGTGTCATAGATCTTTCATTCATAACATCAATCTATGGTTTCTTATTTTTAGGAGTTTGAAGAAGAAAAATACGAATTTGAAATGCCTCTCTAAATTATCTAATTTTATTGAATATCTTATTATTCAAGGCTATCATAACTGCTGCATAATTTAATACAATGTTTGTTTCCTGTCTTTTCTTTCCTCGTTTAGTCATATGTGTATATCGTTTATGCGTTACTATGATTATGACTATAATTATCGTTTTCATAGACAACCGAAATCGATTTTTCTAAATGTGTTTTTCTTCTAACAGAAACATTCTGTGATCTCAAACTGATTGCATTTAATATTATTTTCCTTTTATATTTCTTGTTACTTATACTGTCATTATTAAATACTCAATGATTTGAATTAAATATTTCTCAAACTTCAGTATTACGCATCGCGTTATTACATTACCATAGATAAGTTACAAATATATTAAATGTGTTTATCACTTTGACACATAATGGGATGAAATTACTTTGTCTCATACAGAGTTTTATGTACTATAGTGGTGTGGTCTACTTATATCCATATAAGTAGTATATGGTGATGGTTAGACATATAATGTATTTTGGCAGAAGACCGATAAAGAAAGAACAGAAATGAGGCGCAATTTGTAGGAAAATGCACAAACAATCAATTTGGAGAAGGTGGGTTGGTATTTACGGAAGAAACAGTGAAGTTTGAGACAATTGGTTGTTATTTTGCAAATTACCTGTCTGCTGCATGGTTATCGGAATTTAGTGAGATAGTTCGTAATTCGTGTCCAAATACATTCGATTGTCCCCACCCGTGTTCTCATTCACAACACTATGATCTGTTACTCAGATGATTCATAAATCCATCCTGTTTGATAGAAGTTACTTTTCTAAGCTATTCTTGAATAGTTAGTATTATTTATTGATTTTGATGTTTCAACTAGAGTCATGCTATGTCAAGTGATTGGCGAGTGATTATTTATGTCTATTTAGTTTTATGTGGTTTAATTCGAAAAATTGGCATACTTATAATAGTAGATATTTTGAGCTAACCCTGTATGTAAAATAGTACGCCTACCATTGTAATAACCATTACTTATGTACTGATGATGTAAGTTATTGACACAAACAAACTTGTGTAACAAAGTTCATAAATTTTTGTTTATTATTACCATTCTAAACCATTTTTCATAAATACTTAAATTTACTCTCTAATCGCTAAATTATTATGGAGCCCTTTAGAAAAACTATAACAATGAATGTCATGTAAATGGTATTGGGACTATTGTAAACAATTTTAATCTTTATATATTGGTTGTTTGGAACTTCCAATTGATTTCGAGGACTGGAATTGATCAATCTCTTTTGGCATTTGTGCTTCCTGTTAGGATCGCCTCGATGTTGCCAATAAATCACAGGCATTGTAAGCAGAGATGGATGGTGGCTAGCAGTGGAATCCAAGACGCGCGTTTCATCATTTTTGAGACTCGTCAGCTGAATATACCTGCATCCTAGAGTTAATGTTCACTCCGGGACTCGAACTCAGTACCTTTTTTAAAGACGATCTCGTCATTCACAACTGGTACATTCAGCTGACGCGTTCCGAATAGGATACAACACATCATGGATTCCACTGATAGCTACCACCAAATTCTGCTTAAAATATAGTAAACGATTGTTTATGTGTGGAAACCCGTAATCGTTTGCGATTAACAGTAGTAATAACTCCGGAGTTAGGTTAACAAAGAGTTCATTTGCAAAATAACAAATATAACTGGGATTATTTACTTCAGAAATCCAAACAAAGCAAGAACTACAATATTTAGATAATACAACGAATTCATTGTATTCCTTTGATTTCTCTTCATCTACATAGAAGTTAGTATGTTTAATTATTTCCAATTAAGAGTATGGTGCTAATTTCAATCGATATTGAATAAGTTATGCATAGTGTAGAATAAGTTGAGAATTAACGTTTTAAAAAGAATGGTCTTTTTGTAAATTTTGATAAAACAATAAGAAGACGGAGCAAATCTTTTTATAACTGCATAAGGTTCTAGTTCTAGAATTTTGATATTAATTTTCTTGGTTGATATGACATTTCTGAACTATTGGAAAGGGAAAGTTGACACGAGTTCAACTTACCGAATTGTGATCACATTCAGTTTAAAAAATAAGTGGTCAAAAATTTTCCAAAGCATTTGAATGTTTACTCCTGACTCTTCTTGTATACAAGGTCAGGTTAAAGTATCGTAAATGTTGTAGCTTCTGCGGATTTCAATAACGCGTTCATTAGAGATACACATATGTCTAGTGTCTAGCAGGTTGCGTGTTATTGAATTCACTAAATAATTTCCTCTTCGGTTGTGTAAGCTTTTTTGGAATAGGACTATCGTAACGATAAGATGCCGATCTTTCAATCTATACCCTTCGAAATGTACATGTAGTATGATGAATGCACTAGTAGATAACTTATGACGGATAATTATCTATGTTTGTATCACTGAGCATAGTGTTGTGCACATTGGTACTAATCTCGAACCAGGGAATTTGATTTAAGGGCTGCTTTTAGTCGTTTAATGTTGTAATTCAGTACTTGATGATCCTTAAATGGCAGCTGAATAAAAATATGTCGGCAAAAATAGGGCCTAGACTACTGTTTATAGCCACCCCATCCTAGTGACAGCATAATTTATTGATAAATTGAAACTGCACATACTTAGTACATAGTCTCAGCAACTGTTTCAAATGTTATATATTAAAAGTGGTTAATGTTTGTATCTGTCACGGCATAATAACTTCAAAATTGTGTCATTTATAAATTAGAAAGGTCATTCGATAAAGGTCAGAATGATTCGTTGTAAGATGTCACGTTATTATCAATATAATATTAGTAAATTAAATGGTATACATAAAATGTGTAGAACAAGAATTTCGTCTCGTCAATGGAGAAAATAATAACAATGATGATGATAACTTATTGTGAGCATAATATGCATTAGGAGGTGTGTGTTGAGGTAATCGGAGTTTTCAACCTCACTTATGGTGAAGTTCAGGTATTCCGACGAATATACAATTTAGTCAAGTGTTGTGCTCAGCCTTAAATTAATAAACATATTTTTAATATTTCGTTAAAACATTGACTTTAATCCGAAAGGACATAGTAACAACAGAAAACTAGCTCCACTACTCTTTAATTTGATATCAACTAACATACAACTACATCAGTCAGTCACAGCGTAGAAATCCGTAAATACGTAGATCACTCGAGTTGCCATACCACATTGGCACAGAGATTCAGTTGTCGATTCAAATCTGATAGTGATAGAGTTAGTAAGCGTATAAGCAGTATTCCGAAAGATTACGGTTTGAAGATGTTATTCAAGGAGTACGTTCCGTGTAATCGAATCGTTTGCCCTAGCTGTGCGAGGTGATCAAGGGACGTGATAAGGGTTAGTCTTGGAGATAAGAGAGTAATTAGGTATAGGGAGGGTTTGAATGTGACCAGCTTGGTCTAGTATGCAGTTACGGGTATAAGGGCTGATATCACTTCCCGTGTGCCCACACCGTGGAAGGGTATTTCTTGAGGGACCTGAAAAGAAAGTTGGATTAATGTTAGACTTAACGACCTGGGATCGTGACCGCAGAGCCCAGGGGACAACTGCTTGAGGCCGCTCGCTCACGGCTTTTTTGTGGGAGTTTTTTGACGTGTTAGCTCCGTTCTTACTGACGTAGACGGAAATCCGTGAGGTAAGGTGAGACGTGACATTTTAAGGGTTGACCTTTCCTAACCCCACCCTTCCTTGTGAGAAGGCAGTATCGTTGCAGATGCTGGTGGTCCGAGGGAAACACTTTACTGCCGTCACACCTTTCTACAGTCATCAGTACAACTTTGCCATCAGACCTTGAGTTTCTGCTTTTAGTCTTACCGTTCTCCAATCGACCTGCTTGACATGGTAGAACATACAGGAACATATATTCCAGCCGATATGGCTCGGTTGGGTCGTCACGATAGGCCAGCCCAACCACCAAGTCAAGGTAGCACCTACGGTCAAAATATCACAATGTTTTCTATAGTCATAGTTTTTAAGAATATAATCATCCCCCAACAGGCTTTTTTCATTACAATAGGAACAAAAGTCGTAGTTAGATAAACTGTATTTCTTTACCCTTAATAAACTGCTGTTGTAAAATTTCGCTATTAATAATGATTTCGTATATAAAACGCTTATAATTAAACAGTTAATTAAGGCATAACTGTTCATGTGAAAATTATGCACAAACAACATGCAGCATAAGTCTGAGAAAATCAATTATGTCACCATTACACCAAACAACAATTCTTGAAAAAAAATCACAACGGATAATAATCTATAAACTCTTCGTCAAAATGCGTATCTATGATAATAAAAAAAAACATTTCTAGAACCATTTGAACATAACTAACGAGGTTACTTATTTAGACGAAAAACTACATTGAATTAGCAAAATATTAACATTTCGACTAGTTAACACAATAAATCATCAAAAGATCATAGATTTCAATTGAATTTCACTTAATTATTGTTTTTCGTAACGCACATCTAAGAAAACCATTTTCAAGTAATAAATGAATATCGAAATCATTTATCTGTATTGTTACTACTAGTCATTATCTATCACAAGCACAATAAACAAGTAAGGTCAGTACGTAGACATACTTTTCGCAGTGATGCTTATCTATTTGGTTTTATTATTTCTACTGTTTTCAGATCAGTTTTTTTTTCTTAAAAAGTTAACTGCTTATTTTACTAGTGTGAGTATACCACAGTTTTGACAGTAAAATAGTATTAGGATTCTTAAAGACTTATTTCTTTAAAGTTTTGTTTTTATCTGTACGATATTTTTAAAATGTGCATGAAAATATACCTACGAATGAATTGTGAAGACAAGCGTTGAAATGTTTGTCAATAAATATGACCCAAAGACAACGTAGTGCCGTGCTTCGTTAATCGGTCACCTCGATAACCGTTATAATACCAATCCTAATGGTGAGTAAAATTAGAAGGCAAAGAGAAGCGGTAACTACAATTTATTGACAAATGACTGGGGCCAGAAGGTTACAAGCACATGAGCTAATATCAGCGAGCAGTGAGCAGCTAGGAATGAGCGAGCAAGCAATTACATAGGCAATTTATAGTCAAAGTGAACAAGGGCACAGCAAAACAAAACAGAAGTTGATAATACGATTTGCGTGCATACATATATGGGGAGGAGTATGAGTCATCAAATGATACTTAAGCAATAAACATTTTGGTTAGTATCATGTGCTCTAGTGGTCATAACAATAAAATGAATATGCAAATTGTTATTATCCAAATGACGATGTATGTTAAGTTAATAAAAAGGCTTGACCAAAAATGACCATATTCGAAATCGATTGTAGAATAGTTGCTATAACAACTGTAGGTTGTACTTTCACTAATTTAAAATGTTTCTTTTTTGTTTATTCAATCTAGTTAAAATGACTAACAATTATTGAATTAGAAAGTAGTGTCTCTCACTTTTAGAGTCCTTTTTAATTAGGCTGTTTCACTAATAGTACTTATATAATTATTATCTAAACAATTATAACATCTCACTTCATCATTGACTCAATAGATTAATGCGTTCTTCTGTTGACCGGACGGTTGTATATTCAAGCTCATTCAGCGTCAAAAGGCACTTTTGTAGAGTAGCAACTTGGTAGTCAAGACGTTTGACTTTTAATTAGTAGGTCTTAAGTTCGAATTTCTCGCCATATACTTTGGTTTAGGCAACTGATTAGTATCAATAACCCTCACTTTTCATGTCTGGCTTGTAGCCAAATATTTGATGAATGAGTTAATGAATTTCCTCGCTAAGAATTTTCTCCTGAAGAGGGCTCCCGTGATGATTTTCAGCAGACGTTTTATCAACTGACTTTTATTTTTAAAAATTTTATATTCTAAAACACACGTTTTCAATTTCAATCCAAATTCAAATCCATTTGAAATTTCCTTGATTCACCAGTCCCGGTCGTTATTTAAAAATGTAAATGCGACAATGTTAAAGTGCAACAACATTACGCATAATCTAAAAATATGACTTCTTAGTTCATAATAATCTATCACACTATCATAAGAGTTAACAGAATAAATAAAAATGATTGACAAACTTATAGTTCAAATCACTGCTACTTTTTATGTATTGTGTTTGATTAAGTTCAATACTTCTTCAAGGTATTTTTACTCAAATTTTTCATTGTTTAACCTCTTCGCATGTCCAGTTCAACCAATATTTTATTTATTTAAACACACAAATATTGGTACAAAGGGGCACCAGATATATATGCTCCGCACAAATCTCATTTGATTTGTGTGAGGGCTGTGATACTGCACAGGTGCCCAGACTGAAGCAGATGGTTTTCTTAGGGGGCCACACCCCGAGCCTTTGACCCAAAGGTCTGATCCACATGGCAGTGGAGCATCGTGAAGAGATGTAGTCCCATGGTAGCCGGTGACCAACGATTAATTCATATGAAATTTGATCCTTCAGGATCCTGGAGCTTGTGTGTACCATTGGTTTGGAATCAGGGTTTTCCAACTCCCCTAGGTGGACTCGCCGTGTCCACCAACCCGGTTAAAGCGTCTGACATTCGCTTTTTGTTTCCTCAATTTCGTAAACAACACCCCCACCACGAGAAGGCAGTGAGTAGTTCGCTGGCAGAGTCTATATACGCGTGGCCATGTGAGAGCATTTCGAGAGGGCAAGTGGACTCTCGCCACTATCGGCAGTATCAGGGCATTTGGCGGCAAGCCTGACCACCTCGTCATAGTAGGAGCTACATATTGAACGTGGTGCTAGTTAAGATTTAATTTTTCAATTTGTCCAACGTCAATATCCTCTCATAGGCCTTGGGAAATGTTAATGAATTTCAGCTCTAACAGAATACCGCGTTCTTTAATTGTTTGTAAACTTCGTCCATATCAGATTACATAGAAACAATTTCACATGTTATACATTATTTGTTATATTTATGTAAATCGAGATACGTGTATTCAATTTGCAAATGAACACCTCCGTCAAGTAATTCTGCAGTGTAGAAAAATTTTGAATATCATCAATCTGATGAATATCTCTCAATCACCGAATAATTAAAGTTTACATATAAATAAGCCAAACTAATCTAAATCATTTGCTATGAAATGTATTAATATTATAACTGGTTGTATTTTTAGTAAAAATATTAAATAAAATGTTTATTAATTTAAGGCTGAGCACAACACTTGACTAAATTGTATATTCGTCGGAATACCTGAACTTCACCATAAGTGAGGTTGAAAACTCCGATTACCTCAACACACACCTCCTAATGCATATTATGCTCACAATAAGTTATCATCATCATTGTTATTATTTTCTCCATTGACGAGACGAAATTCTTGTTCTACACATTTTATGTATACCATTTAATTTACTAATATTATATTGATAATAACGTGACATCTTACAACGAATCATTCTGACCTTTATCGAATGACCTTTCTAATTTATAAATGACACAATTTTGAAGTTATTATGCCGTGACAGATACAAACATTAACCACTTTTAATATATAACATTTGAAACAGTTGCTGAGACTATGTACTAAGTATGTGCAGTTCCACATTTTATGATTAGCTGAGATTATATTATTATTATTATATACAATATGAAATCTCAGCTGATCATAAAATTTTCAAATCAAGATTTGATTCAATTCACAAAGGAATTTAACTTTATATTAACTTATGTATCTGGTTCATGATTGAAAATATCACTGTTCACATACCTCAAATACTTTTCTAATAAAGAAAATAATATGAAACTAATTTGACACTTTATCACTCTGGATAATAAGCTAATATTACCAGAATAGGTTTAAGGTGAGATCAAACTGTTTTGAATAGCTCGCATTTCTAGTCTAGTTGACCTTTTATTCTTAAATATAAATGTTCTTAACAAGCATATATGCGATCAGATTCTTCGAAATGTATCGAGCAAATATATATTACATAGTTTTGGTAATCTTCGTCTTCTTTTTTACACTATAGAAATTGATCATAGAGACTGATTACTTCAAATACATTTTTTTAATATTTGAAGTCTAGAATTATATCTCTTATTAATATAATTAGTGCTACATTCCATCACATCAACTTAATAATAAGAAATATAATTGGAGTAAAATCAAACCCCTCTTTACTCATTTTCGCTGTTTTTTCTCATCTAAGGTTATGTATATCGAAACAGATCATTTATGTTAAATGAAAATATACTGCTAAATTAATTTAGTGAAAAAATTCAAGTACAATCAAACATTTATTTCGTGAAATAAACGTGAGTCAATTAAAGCTAGACCACCAGGTTTTCCCTGGTGGTCACTTATCTCGGGAGTCTCATCAACCCTTGTGGTCTGGCGTGTGACAAAATCTCAGCATGGATACAGAAGGCTCGTCTAGCTTTCGCCAACTTGCGTCATTTGTGGAGTAGGCGAGATTTCCATCTAGCAACCAAAGGACGGTTTTACTGTGCAGCAGTTCGTCCGGTCCTACTTTATGGCAGTGAAACATGGCCGGTAAGAGTAGAGGATATTCGTAGGCTACTAGTATTCGATCATACGTGTCTTAGAAGCATTGCTCGTATATCCTGGGACCACCAGGTAGGTAATGCAAATGTTAGGAAACGGGTACTATGTAAGGATGGCAAATCAATTGATGAAGTAGTGAAACCTCATCGATTGAGATGGCTGGGACATGTGTTACGTATGACCAACCACCGACTGCTACAACATGCAATATTTTTTTGGTGTAGGAGTAGGTTGGAAGAAAGCTGGGGGCGGCCAGACCAAAACATGGCACAAATCCATGAAGTCACTGACAGGTGGACTGAGCCATTTTGGTAGGTGTAGACTACCTGGTTGGAATTCGCGAGATGATAGCAACCGATGGTTAGAGACCTCGAATGACATAGCTCAAAACCGTTTGCAAAGGCGAAAGTGCATCCACTCTTTGTGTTCTACTAAATTCTAATCTTCTGAATTCTTCATGTCGCTATCTTTTTTCTCTTTCCATATTTATTTCATTGTATTATACTCCTTCAATAACATCTTCAACCCCCTAATCTTTCCGATTACTGCTTATACTCTTACTACTTCTACCACTATGGGATTTGAATCGACAACTGCATCTCTGTGCTAATGTGGTATGGCAACTCGAACTGGTGTACGTACGTACAAAGTTCTACGTTGTGACTGACTGACTTTATTATTCCACAGAAATTGGGTCGTTTTATATATTCTAATTAAAAAAACAACTAACCTAGGATTTTAATTTTTACCATAACTGAAATCATAATTAAAGAAAAAGAATTTAAAAAGTTCAGAAAGAATTTTTTTTATTACTACAAAATAAAGTTAAAGAATTAGATAATTAACGAGACAGCAAACAACAGGAATCAGTTAAAAAAATTCACATGGTAAGACAAATGTGTACTGAAAGCGCAATGATAATATTTATTGTTATGAAGTGAAGAATTACTGATTAGAATTGAATTCATTAAAAATGACCTAATATTGAATCACAATAAGTATTGAAACGGAAGATAATACTATGCACTATTTATTGTTTGCCAAGTAATGATTTTACAGCACGAACAATAGCATTGGCATCAATACCATATTTGGCTAATAATTCTTCTGGTTTCCCAGAACGCGGCACTTCTCTGATAGCTAATCTTTGAACAGTATGCTCTATGCCACATTGTGACAGAGCTGCACTAACTGCATCTCCTATACCTCCTGTAAATAAATATCACAAAGACAAAAATTAAAGAAAATGGATAAAACAACATATGACGATTAATAGTCGGCCAAATCATTAAATAACAAAAAACAGCAATTTGAATGTAGTAATTAAGTGCTCCAGTGAGAAACAAATCAAATTTAAGTAACAGCGATTTTACTTACTAAGGAAAAAACAAGAGCTTATATAAAACTCTTGACGGTTTTATCTAGGGTAACATTAAAAAAGTGTTATAACAGTATTGTGTGACTTCGAACGGTCAGCAAAATTACGAGATAAATGAAGAAGTAATAGGGAAAAAAATATTCAAATTTAGACTAGTTACAGATGTTTCTGAACCAGTGCACACACACCTTGCTAAAAAAGGCTAACCAAAATAAACAATTTGAACTCTGCCCTGGGAGTTGAGGATCTTCATTTAGAAAAATTATGACGCCTCATGGTGAAAGCCGAAATTCTTCGATAGTCACCAGGTCGATGCCTCTTCTAACAACCAGAGCAACAATTAATGTAGGTACATGGAATGTCCGAACAGTATGGGAGAACTGTAGGAAGCAATTTCCCACAGGTGCAAGTCTAAGCTATTTTCTAGACTGTCGAGCACACTCCCCCCCGGAACGAGCACCAAGCCCATCGTCCTGGGGCGTCGTGGTCGCCGTCAGATGACCGGCTTCTTCCGGTAGGCACAGGCTTCGTACATCCCGAACGATTTAACCGCTCGACCAGAGTTCGCTTAGTCGTCTTATTGGACTCACAGACGATAATATTTCCTTTAACATGGTCTTCATCTGGATTGAACTACAACACTACTACTAGTCCATTTAGTTTAGGTAAATCCTCCTAAACTTAGGAGTCTTTTGAATTGTGAATATATCATATGTAGCTTCTTATGAGTTAGTTGTAGTACTTTTGAGAATACAGTCGTCTCTGTTGTCGTGACGTGACTGGCCATATTTCTATTTACACGTTCAGTAGGCCTCAACTTACACTAGTGAAAGAGAAATATCCTCAAATACAACACGGAGAAAATCAACCCAATCACACATGATGGAGAGGCTCTGGAACAGGTGGAAATATTCACATATCTGGACAGCATCATTGATAAACAAAGAGGATCTGATGCATATGTTAATGCAAGGATTAGCAAAGCAAGGGCAGCATATCTACAATTGAAGAATATACAGAACTCACAACAACTGTCAGCCAAATGTGGAATAAATGCTATTTTTAAATTAATAAAAACCTAAAACATCAAATACCACCACAAATACCTCAACCGAAATGTTCTGAAGAAACACCGAACACTATGATTTATGAGATTTCTTACAGAGTGAAACTGTTTAGAATGTATCAACTTTAAGGGAAAAGTAAATCTAATAAAACCAAATTGATGAATGAATTACTTAGTAAATAACTTGAAGCAAACAGTACAATTCACAGTGTCTGTTTGATTACGATCATTTACATATACGTTTGTGGATACAGTTATGTTACAAATATATGTGACATAACAGTTAAACGGAGCTATGTGTGAAACAAAATATTAACAGAAGCTTTACAATTTGCTAATCTAATCACTACATAATAATTGAAGCACTACTTACCTTCAGGTACATGATCTTCTACTGTCAGTACTTTGCTACATGTTTCTTTAACAGCCTTTGCGAGTAATTCTGCATCTATTGGCTTAATAGTGAATGGATCAATGACACGAATATTAATATTTTCAGTTGCAAGAACATCGGCTGCTTTCAAGGCTTCAGTTAAAGTAATACCACCACCAACTACAGTTAAATGATCACCAGCAGATCCTGCAGTCCGAACAACCTATTGAAGTGAAAGATAGCCATAAACAATTGTAAGCATTATAAATAATGTACATTTATCTGGTGTTTGCTAACAATCTATATAACTCTCATACTATAAAATCTAAAGTAAAGCACTATAAAAACATTGAGAGATTTGTTCACATTATATAGAATAGGTTATAATATTATCACGATTACTGGTTTTATGGAAATATATAGATTTAGTGATTTGTGCGGTTTAGACTTAATTGATAAACTAATGATCAAATATATATTATAAGAGTAGTGTTATTAACGTTGTAGAAGAAAATATTTATACATGTCAATAGTTTTGTGAGTATTTCTACTTTTTTGTTGTATGTTGGCACCAAGTAAATTTTGTACGGTGAATGTGGTTCAAAAAAAGTGAAGATAAATGTATTGCCAAATAAAGTTGATTAACTCTCTTTTGTCTTCAATATTAATAATAGTGATATTTTTGGCATTTATTTTTTGAGCGAATTAACTTTTGCGTTTAAAAAATAACTTCAAGAATACAAACATGTGAAGATGTTAATTACGAACACCTAGACGAATTACTAGTTTGTCTATAGTAAGGAGCAAAGAAAGATTGAAAAACATGTAATATTTAAAAGTACCAAATATAGGTTAAATGATCACTTACTTTTCCCTTACCAATGCAAAAGCATTCCTCGGGAGAATAAATTACAGGTTGATTAGGACGTCCAGTTCTTATATAACAGATCCCCACGGTGTTGGCTGCCAATTCAACAGCTCGTTCAGTCGACACAGCATCTGATGGATAAAACACTGTGGAGCCGATCACAGAACGAAACATAGCCATATCTTCTAAAGCCATTTGACTCGGCCCATCTTCACCTATTTCAGAAAAAAAATTATAAATATTAGACAGATGAAAAAGGAGATAACCCTGACCCACTAAAATAACTGCTACGCAGCATAACATAAAAATGTATCCAAAAAGTGATATAAGAAACAAGCTTTGAATGGCATGTATTGATATTGTCTTGAATTGTGACAAGTAAGCAACACAAGCCGGGTTTGTAAACCTTTGTTAACTAATGTGGTCAAGATACGAATATTAACAAAATCCAATCACCATTTACCCTAGGTATTAAAAATCCTACATCTGACTTTCAACCACATCAATAAAAGCTTGGAATTGTTGAACATAGCGCCTCAAGGAACTTATTTAAAATGTTTGGACCTGACTATATAATTTAAAAAAGGAGTGACTCTTAATAAGTGTTACAACTTGTCACCTTGTGCCCTGTTAATAAATAACGTAATGATACCGCCAATTGGAGAACAGTCACTTATCGTCCGAACCAATGACGCATAAAACCCGTACGAGCAGTCTAGAATCCTTATCAGTCCTTCTGGCTGCTTGGCCCTGCCTTTCGAGTCCAGAACACCAATCTCAGCCCCCACGATATGAATCATATATTTTAAACATACTGGGTTTACACACAAACCAAACAGACCACATCGTACCATAAAATAAAAAATAACATTTGCACAAGATCTAACCGAAAGTGGCTGTCAGTGTGCGAAACTGTGATTAACAAATGGGGCATAACTTAAGAATGGTAAATCGTATAATAATAGTCTGTAGGTCAAGATAAAGTTTATGATAAGAATATGAATATACATAGTTTAGTTATTCAATAATTAATTATACAATGAAAATATATGTATAGTATTAGTCCATAAAAAGATCCCAACAGTTATCATTCATTATTCTTGTCGGGAAATAACAATATGCTAACTCACTGTATTGCTTTCGTGTTTCATCAGACTAATCCGACACTTGTACGATAGGTTTGATATAAACTGCAATAAGACCCACATAATACACTGATCATTCTAATCCATACAGATTTCAACTTTTACCAGCTGACTCACAATGTTCATCTACCACCTCACCTAAAATTGGCACTGCATACTCGATGATTACATCAAATGCAAGTAATGCTTCAGAGAAAAAGGGTGATCAAAACAGTGCGTTTCATTCACTTACAAAGGTTTAGACTGAGGGTTTGTAAGTTCGACATTCTATGGTTAAAACGTCATATAAAATTAGAAGTTGCGTAAGTCTTTACTCAGTATATTTTCTCAGGTAGAGATTCTGCGATCAAGTAAATTGAACTTGATTCAAATACTTTAAGGAGTTATACTACTAATAGGATAACACATATCACCAGAAATAGGCGTTTTATTCAAGTTATCATCAACTTATTGTACTTAAGACAAACATTACATGTTGGTTTATTTACTTAAATGTTGAAATCGGATGACATTTATTATTGGGTATCCCGTCTACTTATTTATTTAAGGCACATATCCTGATAGAATGGTCAGCCAGACATAAGCAACACAGAAGCTACAACATATATGGATGGAGGGGCACCAACAAAAGTGCCATACAAATAGATTGGTAAGCAGAAAAGAGTAGTACTGTAGGGGCTGGTACTATTTCAAGTTATTCTAGCCTCTGGACAGGTCAATCTACACATTCTTCTCAAGCCATGTACTTCCCTGCCATCTATTCGCTTATTAACCCTTGCCTTTTCATATGATCTATGTGTTAATTACTTACTCTATTCATCATGTGCATGTAACCTATTTTTATCTGACTATAAATATTGAGTCAGGCTTGGTTAAATAAAGTTGACTCACATGCTTTGTCTGATCCGTTCCACTTAGCTTAGTTTCCCTGATTGTTTGTCTAGAACAACGATTGTGATATATATATATATATATATATTCGAAGTTTATTCTCGTACTTGACTTTTTTAATTCCGTTATTCACTAACGCGATTTAAGTCGATGATTGCATACGAGGGTTAGCGGTATGTTTATTTTAACAATAATCATCACACGATCTAAATGGAGTCAGAAATTGAGCCACTAACGTGATGAGTCAGTCGACAAGCCATCAATAACTCGATGACGATCATTCTTACGATCCAATTGGAGTTGGATAAAGGGCTACTAAAAGTGATGAACCCGACGACGAAGTTAGCTCAGCGAATTACGTCAGTCAAGAAACTTTTGCACTCCGAACTTTTGACGAACGGGCTCAAAGCAGCTTACATAATCGATAACCCCATCAATAATATCATAAGATTCAATTAGAGTCAGATAAAGGGTCAAATCCCGACCGTCGCTGCTACCTCGACGTGGTGGTCAGGCTTGCTTATTGTAATGAACCAACGGAGCTTAACTAGTTGAACAATCGTTCCTAACGGTCCTGCCATGCCAGACAGGTCAGTTGAAGAATGGTAAGACTAAAAGCAGCAAACTCAATGTCCGAAAGCGAAGTCGTACCTCTGAATGTACGGAGGTGTGGCGGTGGTAAGGTATTTCCTTCTGACAACCAGTATAACAGCGATGCTGCCTTCCCACAAGGAGGGGTGGGGTTAGAAAAGGTCGAGCCTAAAAATACACACCTCGCCTTAGCCCACGGATATCCGTCTCCGGCGGTAAGGTCCCAACAAGTAAGGAGTTAACACAAAGATTACCCATAAAAAGGTCGTGTGTGACCGACCCCAAGCAGTTGTCCTTTGGGCACTGTGGTCACGCTCTCAAGTAACTAGGACCAACTTTAATCCAATTTCCTTTTCAAGCATCTCTAGAAGAACCCTTCCACGGTGTGGGCAACCGGGAAGTAATAAATGCCCTCATACCTATAACAGCACTCAAGATTACTGTATTCATAACCAATCTTCCTCTTGAATCCCTATTATTCCTCCAACATAGACTTTCAACACTAAACTCCCTCTTTCAATTTTCTCCTCAAGTGTCACCATGGCCAACGATTCTAGTAAGCAAAACATTGTATAAGGTATACTGAAACCTCTCTCCAAACTACACATTGGAGCCTTCAACATACGCATCCAATGTCAAATCGGCCAACATGCCTCCTGGGCTAAAACCCTAGAATCTCGTACTATTGATGTATGCTGTGTCTCCGAAACATACAAGATCCCAGTGTGATCATTCATTTGATCTCATCTAGTCAAAACGTAGAGTCGACGAAATACACCTTCATTGTATCTAGCGACCCGATGGCTAGATCTCGTGGAATTGCAGGTGTAGACATAGCACCTAGTACGAGGGCAGAACAAGCACTATTAGAGTGGGTCTCTGTTAACAGTCGTCCGTAAGAACTCGGAATAGGAACATACGCCGTTGCCTTTTCATCGTTTCTGCCTACGCTCCCATTGACTGCAGTCTGGATAAAGTGAAAGGTGATTTTTACAAAAAGCTTTCTGAAATTCTTCAAAAAGCTAAACACTCAGACATAGTACTCGTTGCAGGTGACGATAATACCCAAGTAGATAGCTTAAACCAAACAAAAAGACATTTAGGTGAGTATCTTAGTATCCCTGCTCAGAGAACAGATAATGGTGGCCGTCTATTGCAACTTTACTCAGACAATCGTTTATTTTCAGCAAACACTAATTATAAGCATAAGGAGAGACATCGTCTAACACGGCGACTCCCTGCACCAAACCAACGATGGACTCAAATAGAGCATATTCCCATCGGTCATCGTTAGAGAGGCTCGATAGAAGATTATCACCGGTTCTGCAATACATGTTCACACTCTGATCATGCTCTAATACGAGCACGCACTTTCTTGCTTCACACTGGACGCAGAAAAACTACAATAAGAAGACCCATTAGGATTGAACTGGAGGACGAGAAAGCCAAATGTAAATTCCAGGAACAACTGAGGTTACATTTAGGCAGTTTCGTAAACGAGACCGACCCAGATATTGCTTCGGAAGATAGACAAACAGCTGTGGAAACAGCAGTGACATTTGCTAGTGATTTGAACCAAAGGGTCACGAAAAACCAATAGATTTCTGCGACAACTTTTATGCTGATAGACTCTCATAAACACGATAAAGAGCGAAAACAAATCAGATCTAGGTTAACCAAAAGTTTAAGGAACGACCGTGAGTGGTGGTAGACAGTGAAAGCAAAAGAGATGGGAGAGGCACAGGCTGTGAGTAACACCAGACAACTTCTCAGTTTAACACAAGAAACCGGAATTAAGACAAGTGTGAGATCTCGGAAAAGGACGACACTTTTATGCTCTCAACTCGGACGTTTAGAATGATGGATGGAACATTTTCGGGAGAATTCCAGTTGGCCTTCAGTTATTCTACAGCTATCCACTATTTCCAAACACCCTTAGCGAAACATTGAAGTAGGTCGCCCAACCTCAGCTGAAGTTCAAAATGCATTATCACTAGGACCCAAGAAAGGGACCCGTGATGAGCCGACAAGTCACAGACTTACAAAGCAATTTTTCATGTTACAGCATTTTCATAAACCGACCATCTCTTTCCTTTTCCACGAAGTCTTTGAAATGGCATTTAGTGGGAAAAGTGGGAGTCTCTGGGATGACATTCATATAATATAACCAATTCACCGGAGTTAGTGTCTTAAGACGGTGATACCAACGATTTCGTCATCGGTGCCGTCCCAATGATTACCTTCACGTGATAGCTGTTCATACGGAAGTGTGATGAAAAACGGATATCATAGACGGGCAGATAAGAAAGCTAAAAAACTAATTTATTAGGTACTGAGATATGAATCACATTCAAAGTGTGACGGGTACGGATGCTAACCAGGTGAGTACATCGAAGAAAGTGGAGAGGGAGGTTAAACGCCTTAACCAATAAACCACTGCGGAAGCTAAACCTAGGGGAGTTGGAGAACTATGATTCTAGACCAATGGTGGGCATGGGCTGAAAGATCCTGGCAGATAAATGGAGTGCGAATTCATTCCGGTAACCGCTTGACATGACACTGCATCTCAGGTCGATCAAACCCTTAGATCAACAGCTTGAGCTCTTTCCAAAAAACTACCCACTTCGGTTTCGGTACCAGTATAGCATCGCAGCCCACACACAAATATGATGCACAATTATGAAGCAACTGAAAAGAAGTGATATTACTAAACAAACTTTGATATCTTACTATTTAACCATTTTATACAGTGAACTCACCAATGCTGACTCCGACATGTGAACCAGCGAAATTACAGTTGGTCTGAGAAATTGCACCCATGCGTATTTGGTCGAAAGACCGAGTAAGGAAGGCGGCAAAAGTACTGACAAATGGAATGGTTCGCCCACGTGTAGCGCAACCAATAGCTACACCAACTAAGTTTTGCTCTGCGATGAAACACTCGACGAATTGACCTGGGTTAACATCTCTAAGTTTAATACTAAAAGTTGAATTTTTAGTATCACCGTCGAGACCAATAACTCGGTCACAAGTTTGACCAATACGAGAGAGAGCTGTGCCATAGGCGAGTCGAGTAGCTACCTAATGGTAAGTAAACATAAAGCGGATACATATGAATGTAAATACCTCAACAAAAGTAACCACAAAACGACTTAAGATTGTAAATGGTTTGAGAAAACTGAACTATGCAGTAAGCACATAACCAAGTAAAAATTTATATATATATATATATATATATATATATATATATATATATATATATATATACAAAAGCATTTTGGATAAGTTACCATATCTCCAATTTTATATTGTGGGGCGGACGGCAGCTTGATAGTACCCACTAATTTTAGTTCGCTGCAATCATCCAGCGGTTTTGAAAGTAGGGAATAACTACCAACTGAAGTATTGCTTAATTGAGCATTGAGGTAATCCAAAACTTCCTTCGCCTTAACTCCAAGGGGTTTACCATGCCAATTCTCCTGATCAGCAATACCAGGGAAATCTTGACCTTTGTACGTTTTACAAATTAAAGCAACAGGTTTATTTTTGACCGTACGAGCACATGAAAATGCTTTAAGTAACTCCTCAATGTTATGACCATCTACCACTATAGAATGACACCTAAAGTGATCATTAAAAAATACTTTACCTTTAGTAATTAGGACATAATATATAGATTCTTTTGAACATAAAAATGTTAGTAAAATTTACCCACCTCAGTATGAAACTAAATACAATTACTGAACATTAGGATATTTCTCTATACGCGACAAAACATCAAACAGAAAGCAATCTAACCACCAGAGAGCAATTTGTTTATTATAACTACAGCTGATCAATATTTACTGGTTAAAATAAGTTATAGGCCCAGAAAGCAGTATGGTTTGACCATACATTGAAGTTACATTCTTTAAATATTAGAGATGACATGGAAGAAAACATGAATTCACTTCAGGTAGGAAATCAGAAACGAAAACAGTTATATTTACTACGGCATGTGCAATATTTCTTATGAACATTAATGATTGTTAGGCTAAAAGGACTCGTTGGAAATTACTCACTAGGCTACTTCAGTTTTGGCTGCGGCTTCTAAATGTCGAATTTCAGGCTTTAACCCTGTTCTACAAACATCGCTTTCAGCGACTGAATGTTATTATTAGTTCCTACTACACGTTTAGCTTCAAGTAGAGTAGTCAAACTTTTACTTAGAAAATGAGTCGCATTAACCTTTAGAAGTCATTCTGGATTGAGTGAGTTACTTTGGGTAACATGGAATGTCAAAATTGGATCCTTTTTAACACAGATCGCTATAACATTTGCTGTCAGAGTCAGTATAATGAGGCTTTTAGGGTAAGAAATATGTCTGGTTTAGTCAGAGAAAATGAAATTTCAGTTGGCCATTTAGTAGCAGAATAGAATCTGGTACATAGGAACATCAGTTCAAGTTGCCACTCCATTGGCAAAGCGATTAAATTATTAGGTCAAATTCCAGAGTAGTAAAGGTAGCAACAGCACTAGTCTTAGAAAAGATTAGGCATTGAAGATACTATTCAAGGAGATAAAAATCAGTCAAGAATAAACAAGGAAAATTATGAAGTCAGAAGCTTAAAATCTGGGGAAGACAGGGTGGATGCACTTGTGCTACCGGGAACGATTTCAAGCCATGTCATTCAAAGTCTCTAACAACTGGTTATGATAACCATGCGGACCTCAACCAGATAGTCTACGAGTGTTAACGTGACCCAGTCCGAATGTTGATGAATACATAGACTGATGTCATATTTTGGTCGACAGCTAAATTTCCTGCAACCTATTCTTACACCAGACAACATCGCTCGCTTTGAGTGATAATGATATGACAGTCACATTTGTTACATCCAAATAGCTTTGGCTCGTTTTGTAGAGTGGTGGTCTAGTGGTTGAGACGTTCGACTTCCGATTACCAACTTCCGGGCATGAGCCCCGTGCCACCTATTTCGGTCTCAGTCAGCCAGCTACAACGTAGGACCAAACACATTTCGGTCTAGGGGACCGATTAGTATTAACACTCATATCCAGAATGTGGTGATCGAGTTAACATAGAATTATTTTGCATTATCAGCTTGGATAGCACTAAAAACATGTTAGCTTAAGTTTACTGTAGGACAGTTTACTTACAAGCATGGCTTTTGCATGAATTTGATGAATTGCTGTTTACTTGCGATGTATTTACTGCAGTATGGTTTACGTTGATTGGAGACAGTTTAGTCGAAATTCTTTATCCTCCTATGGTAATTTTTTCGAGCGATTTTACAGTGAAAAGCATTAGAAGGCGTTCCATTTTGAAACCATGAATGTATTCTGATTGACTATTGCAAGATAGTTCACCCCATGCAGTACTGCCGATAAAAGTACTTTTTTAGTATTGTATCACGAAAGCAAAATAATTTCATTTGGAACGCGAAAGTAGTTTTTTAATACAACTGTGACATTTATTACATACCTCTATTGACAAAGCGATCACACTTTTGTATTTTATGTTTAGACAATATAACTAGCCTCCAACCAGATAAAATGATGGGTAGGAATCCTAGAAATTCGCCGGAACTCGAAAAGTTCATTATACCGGATAAATATTAGATACATACGGAATCATTTTAGGGGCAATACTGTATAAATTGAAGTTAGTGCTTGGAAATTTCATTACTTTACATGAAATAGACAAACGAACCGAAAAGATATTTGGACATAAATACTCTTCCAGTATTTAGATTCGTACGAAAAGAACATGTAGAACTGCCATATTTTATATGATGCATATAATACAGCTAAACTGCAACCCAAAGCTATTCAGAAAAATCTGGTTGATCTAGTTCTGAATCTGCTGTTAAACCAAGCACAATGGAATAACTTTTTACCATTTAAGTTTATACTTCTTTACATCCCCCGAGACAATGTTATGAAGTATTCTACTAGTGTAACTAACCCTTAGAACACCGAACGCCTAGTCCAACATAATATTTGCAAGGTTCATTATCTACTTACTAAATGAGATTTTTTACAATACTGAAAACAAGATCTTAAAGAATGGACAAGGCTAAAAATTAATGTAGCGACTGAAATAATACCCAAATGCTTCAGTCCGTAGTCGATAAGCTTCTAAATGGTGTTGCAGTTGTGTCGGTTGACTTTGTCCAAGGCGATTAACGTCGAATATTATAACAAGATTATCCAGTTTGTAAAATGATGAGAAGGCTAATGCTTCCCAGATACTCCCTTCAGTCGATTCTCCATCTCCAACCACGCAGTATATTCTATAGCTTGCTTTGTCAATATATTTTCCGACGTACGCCATCCCAGCAGCAATGCTGACACCTTGACCAAGAGAACCGGTCGCAACATCAACAAAAGGCAAGCGCTACAAGCGTTAGACATTAAAACTATTACCGGAGTTGGATGACCTTCTAAATCCGAATCTATTTTGCGCAAATTAAGCAATTCTGACTCAGGGAACAACCCGACCTGAGCCCAAGCTGCATAAAGTATTGGAGCGGCATGACCCTATAACAAATCACTTAAGAGAAGTTGCCTACTTTGGATAATACAAATCTATCACTTGAAGGATTTCTAGGTGATTCTGGTTTGTAGCGCATTTCCTTCAGAAAAAGTACGGACATAATTTCAGCCAGAGATGCACATGAAGTAGGATGTCTGAAGTACAATGACTGAAATAATAAAGAGTTACCCAGATCCTGCCGCTTCAGTCGCTTTCACTGAGTTTATTCGAAGCCGTGTGGCTACATCTTTGAGAACCTGTACTTCACTCATACTCACAGTGTTAACGAGATACTAGGTAACACGACAATTGAAATAACCGCCCTTCAAACAGCAACCTTGAGAGGCCTAAACAAAAACAACTATTTCATATTTGAGGAGCCAGAAATAGTTATGGTGCTTTTAGGTCAGCTTAAATTAGTTGAATGTATTTTTAACGACCTTAATATTTCAGAAAACATTTAGCCACGTTTATCGATAATATGATGTCTTGTACGTTTATGAAAACTACGATTAGCAGGAGAAACATAATTTTTTCATCAACGAATCCATATCGTCTGTTAATTTTGTCATTGGTTGACGTATTATAAAAGATGATGGAAGAGATCCAAATAAGTTATTTTCACGAAAACTGTTGACATTGCCACATTTAATATTAATTTATTTGGAATAGTTAACAGCAAAAGTAGTATGCACAAATTCTGGTATTGGTCGACGAGAATCAGAGAGGGATTGCAACCACCGTCTCCAATCCTCTAAATACATTGAAGTATCTTATATTGGAGAATAAGATTCTGTAAGTTTTGAGCGAAGTTGGTACATGGAACGTGGACACACCTTTAACATTCTGGGACTTATCGTTTTGAAACAGCTGAGTTTTGTTAAATGAAAACCTGTTGTCATTGAAACCACGTGTAGGCGAAGGTTTTACGTGTTGTAGACTATCTACTTATCTATCTACTATCTACTGTCGAATGGTTGGAGGCCTACTAGCGTTAGACGGGAATGGTGTGGCGAACTAACTAACGTCGAAGTCACACCTCGTGATCGGTACTTTACGTGGATTACCCCATCGAAGTATCAAGGAATTATGGATGCTCTGGAAACTGTACAACATAAAGGATGTTACTGCAGAATTATCTTAGTAGATACAAGCGAAAGTGAAACCACTGTCGTATGGGCCAGTTCATGGTGTACGATTAACTGATGCATGTTCTTTGCCCTTGACTTTTACAGGGATCGGTGATGCGTTCGATATTCAGTGACCTAGTTACCGAATAATTTGGCTAGGGCTTAGTGGTATTTTTATTGGCCCTAAAGCATAATAGCTCTCAAAATTTACAAACGTTCCCATTTACAGGCATGCATAAGTGGTGAATAGGAGATTCAGTCGGTCAGTCAATCAGTCACAACGTAGAACTTTGTACGTACGTACACCAGTTCGAGTTGCCATACCACATTAGCACAGAGATGCAGCTGTCGATTCAAATCCCATAATGGCAGAAGTAGTAAGATTATAAGCAGTAATCGGAAAGATTAGGGGGTTGAAGATGTTATTGAAGGAGTATAATCCAGTGAAATAAATATGGAAAGAGAAAAAAGATAGCGACATGAAGAATTCAGAAGATTAGAATTTAGTAGAACACAAAGAGTGGATGCACTTTCGCCTTTGCAAACGGTTTTGAGCTATGTCATTCGAGGTCTCTAACCATCGGTTGCTATCATCTCGCGAATTCCAACCAGGTAGTCTACACCTACCAAAATGGCTCAGTCCACCTGTCAGTGACTTCATGGATTTGTGCCATGTTTTGGTCTGGCCGCCCCTAGCTTTCTTCCAACCTACTCCTACACCAAAAAAACATTGCACGTCGGTGGTTAGGCATACGTAACACATGTCCCAACCATCTCAATTGATGAGGTTTCACTACTTCATCAATTGATTTGCCATCCTTACATAGTACCCGATTCATAACATTTTCATTACCTACCTGGTGGTAGGATGGCATTCTTAGGTTTTTCACGATAGTAATGGTAGGACGAGCTGCCTGATTTACTATGGTGGTGACTAGTTTAAATGAAGTTGTGGAATAGATATTTTAATATAGCTCAACACAAATATGGTCTTCCATGGTCAGTTAAGGGTTGATTGACAAAGCTCGCTACACGCTTCTTTACATATTCATAAGTATTTGAGATTTGCTTCTGGTGTTCTAAATCCTCTTAAGGAACGGTAAAGACTCGCTACATCAAGATTTGGGAGAGGGTAAAATCATATCAGGGGGACCTAAGTTTATTTGGGATAACCTAGCTACGAGTAATGAGGTAAGACGCAGACAACTCTAGAGCAAGTAATATGATAAGCCCAAAAATCAGTCGATTGTCTAATACTAAAAAGAAGATAAATAAAAGTATGCTTTCCGTAAACTCTCATGCTAACCGAGCACTGACATCGGGGAACAAATGGTGAGTTAATTCTGTCTAAAAATATTCACAAAATATTAGATTTCGAAAGCCAATCTTATTGCTGTGGCATGCACTTATAGCCAACTTCGTAAAAACGAATAATGACAGCGCTTTAAAGCTGCCTCAAAGTGTTTTCGTGAATTTTTACACTATATCGTGATTTAAAGTGACATACATTTAAAAAGATTTTTGTAAAATAAGAAACCACATATTATTTGTGACATTCAACGTGTAACCATATTCATACCCAAGATATGTTTCTAAAAACAGACCAAATTGATCTGCCGATTGATGGTCACTCACGCTACAGAGGTTATTCTACTAAATCCTGTCATCTGTTCTGCTGCTTAACGGCCACGACTGTATTCTCAGAAGTACGAAATTATATATGACGAAGGAAGGATTCGCAAATACTGGGCTTGAGTAATTTTGCACTGAAGCCATCCACTATTTAGCTTTGCGATTTGCAGGGATTTCTTAATCGAAAGATTCGTCGTATTTTCCGAGGCAGTTCGACATTATTTTGAAAACTAAGGGAACGGATCACATTTCTATAGAAGTCAGCATTTTGTTAGCGGAATGTGACTTTTTAAATAACCATGCACAAAAGCTCCTAGTGATCCACACAATCCGATATATGGAGGAAGGTATTGAATCCATTAAATCATTTTGAGATGAAGCAAAATTGGCACTCTCTTTGTGGAAATTATACGAAAGGTCAGGAAAGGCTTTCAATAAACACTAGTTAGCCAGTAAACTCTCATTTCTAAAACTCCTGTCAAACTGTCCAAATACGATGTTTTTAGGACAGTTCGCTTAATTGCTGTCGATCGTCAAATCCCTTTTAGGTACTTTTTTACTTATATCTGTTACTCCCAATGGAGCATAGGCCGCCGATCAGCATTCTCCAACCCACTCTGTCCTGGGCCTTCTTTTCTAGTTCTATCCAGTTCTTGTCCATTCTTCTCATGTCTGTCTCTATTTCTCGGCGTAATGTGTTCTTTGGTCTTCCTCTTCTCCTTTGGCCTTCAAGATTCCATGTGAGGGCTTGTCTTGTGACGCAGTTGAGTGTTTTCCTCAAAGTGTGCCCAATCCACTTCCAGCGCTTCTTCCTTCGCTGGAATCTGGTTTGTTGTCTCCCACAGTAACTTGTTGCTGATAATGTCTGGCCAACGGATCCGAAGTATCTTGCGTATACAACTGTTGATAAACACTTGTATCTTCTGCATGATGGCTTTCGTAGTTCTCCACATCTCCGCCCCATACAGTAGAACTGTCTTCACATTTGTACTGAAAATTCTGATCTTGGTGTTGGTTGACAATTGTTTTGAGTTCCAGATGTTCTTCAGTTGTAGATATTGTGCTTTTGTCTTGCCGATCCGCATCTTCATATATGCATCAGATCCACCGTGTCCATTAACGATGCTGCCCAGATATGTAAAGGCTTTCACATCCTCCAAAGCTTCTCCGTCAAGTGGAATTCGGTTAGTGCACGCTGTGCTGTATCGGAGAATCTTGTTTTTCACTTTGTGTATGTTGAGACCTACTACTGCTGCTATACTGGTCTTCTCCTGCATTTGTTGTGGCGTGTGATAGAAGAGCCAGATCATCTGTGAAGTCTAAATCCTCTAGCTGCATCCTACCCGTCTACTGTATCCCATGCTTACCTCCAGATGTTGACGTCTTCATAATTTAGTCGATCATCACGATAAAGTGTGAGAGTAAGCAACCTTGCCTAACACATGTCTTTACCTCGAATGAGTCGGTGAGTTGTCCTCCATGGACGACTTGGCGGTTTAATCCACCATAGGAGTTCTGTATGATATTGACTATCTTCTCAGGGTAATTCGTAGTTTATGAAAATCCATGATAGACAGATTCGAGGCAGCCTAATTGTCCGACTAGTGACAATGACTCTATGACAGCGAGTAGTATACGAACCAAGCTATGCTTTCAAAAATCTACCTTCACACAACAGAACCGTATTTCTCTATTGCCTGGTTAGGAGAAATTGTGTTGCCGGGTGGAAACACGGGGACTTCTTCGCTTTTCTTCGTAAATCAGGCAACTTTGGAACGTTGATATGAGAAGCTATACAGAGTAAGCCGAAGTATCAAGTACAAATATCAGCTACTGAGCACACTCGACAAAATACTTCTGAAAATAAGCTTAAATTTATGCTCATATGAAATGAGGCCCAAATTAGGACTGTAAACACAAACTTAGTCAAAGTGTTATTTGTTTTTTATAGAGTGATATATGAAAACCAAAAAGAGCTATTTACAGCAGATATATATTTTACATGTACTATTTCTATGAACAAACGCTGAAAGATAAGTTCTCAAAAATAGCGATCTGGTTAAGCAGTTATGTAAATAAATTACAGACTAGTACTAATATATCAACAAAGGCAAATTATTTAAACAAATTGCGAAAGTTTCTTATTTTGCATATTAATATATAAACTAGGTAAAAAAGTAATAATAATGAACTGAAAATAAAAATTAGAATAACTATCTATCAGTTAAGTGTAATGTACCATTCTTTAGGTATTGTGAATGTAAATTAAGAGAAAGAAACAGGTAAAATTAAGGTAAGATTAAGGCTAAATAGACGGACAGAGAGGCAGAATAAGATTTGACTACAGGAAATACGATTTTATCGACCACGTTGTAGGAAATTCGCTGCAACATGTAAAAGAGCCTTTCTTGATAAAGAATCCCTGAATTGAAATAAACATCGTTGAGCTGCCTGGAAATGAAATTCAGCTAACATCCGAGTTTGACCAACTCCATCTGACTGCAAATCAC